CACTATTATGAGTAATATAAATTATATTAGTTAATTAAAAAAATTTTACTGTTTCAACATTGTTACTTAATTACTTTTTTGGAGAAAATTGAAATTTATATGTACTGTCCTCTTGACTAAAGCAAAGATTTATTCTCCTTTCAAATTAAAAATTAAAAGGTAATAAATTTTAAAATACAATAATTAAAAGATTTAACAATTTTTACATTTATTTTAATTAACATATTTAAGAATTAACAAATAAAAATTATTTATATTGTTAAAAATTATTAATATTTTAGAAACGATATGCTAATATACTCATTGTAATAAATAATAAACAACTAAAAAATTGTTTGATGGTCTTACAAAATAATAAACCTATCTATTTCATGTGTTTGTTACAAGGAACATTTCCTAAGAAACCTTTGTAGTCTCCCTTGGTCGAGCGCGTCTAGGCGCAGCTCCCAGTACGGTTAAGCTCTGCAGTGTAAGTACACTAGTGATGGTCGAAAGCTCGAATCTCGGGAGACAACCGGTTAAAAAATTTCGAGAATGTGTTAGGATTACTATTTTTTTTTTATTTTATTAACATTATCAACATCAAATTAAGACAAAATATGACACTCTCTTAATTTATTATATTAATTTTAACTGTATTTTTTTTGTAACAAAGTTCTATATTTGTTACATATATGTTATATAAGATGTTGTTACTGGATTTAAAAAATTTGTAATTAATTTATATAATCGTTACATATCTGTTATAAATCACTAGTAACAGTGTTATGTATTTATTACATATCTGTTACAGAGATCAGAGCTGACATTTATCATAACCTGCTTGTAACATGCTACAAGCTTGTGACAGAACGTGTTACATCTTGTTATAGAACAAATATATAACCATTACGTATTCGTGTTTGCTGGGTAAGAACTTCGGTTGCTCTTTTGTAATCTTCGATTGAAGAAAATTTGAAATCAACATTTTGGAAACTACTCGAATTTTTAGCCCATTCATATAGTTCCTATGAAGTTGAAATTTTTTTATCAAATGGCAACTGAAGACTTCCCCGTGCTGCTGCTCGTTTTACGGTACCTCCGACACCATCGCAAGGCCCTTTGCCATGATAATTCGCGAAAAATTGCCATTCAGCATATATTTTAAAATCCTCTTCATGATAATAAAACGCAGTTCACGTTTTTTTAAAAATTATAATATGTTATATTAAAACTTTGAATCCAGATGTTAACAAAATTTACTTTTTTTCGGATGGAGCCCCTCAACAATTTAAAAATTTCAAAAATTTTGTTAATCTTTATTATCATGCGAGGATTTTAAAATAATTGCTGAATGGCACTTTTTCGCGAGTTATCATGGCAAAGGGCCTTGCGATGGTGTCGGAGGTACCGTAAAACGAGCAGCAGCACGGGGAAGTGTTCAGTTGCCATTTGATAAAAAAATTTCAACTTCATAGGAACCATATGAATGGGCTAAAAATTCGAGTAGTTTCCAAAATGTTGATTTCAAATTTTCCTCAATCGAAGATTACAAAAGAGCAACCGAAGTTCTTAATCTTCGATATACAAAGGCAAAAACTATTCAAGGTACACAACAATTTCATTGTGCAATCCCAAATAAAGATGGATCTTTAACTATGCGGATATTTTCCAGTTGAAATGAGAATTATTCTTGCAAAATATTTAAACGTCAAAAAATTGGATAAAAAAAATAGATCAAAATTTTAGTTCCAAATACAAGTTTATTATTATAATTACCTCCATTTATAAGTTTTTATTAATTAACTCTTTTACTGAAACATTAGAAATCATATTTGAGTAAAAAACAAATGTTTAAAAATTTTGAAAAATTCGAAAAAAATATTAAAAATTGTTTTCCCACGACCGGACTAGGCTTAAAATTTGTGTTATAAGAAGTAGTTTTTTTGAAAATTTTTTGAAAAAAATCAAAATATACAAACACTTTTAAAAATAAGATTTTTATCTTAAAATTACAAAAAATAAGGTTAATAATTTTTTTTTAATTTTTTGCATGAAAGTTTTGAAAAGTTCATTTAAAAACACACAATTTGAAAAAAAAGAATTGAAATTGGCGCATTTATCAAAAAGTTATGAGCTTTCAAAACAAAAATTTTGAAAAATTTATATCTCGAAAACGGCTTTATAAAAAAATTTAAAAAAAATCAGGAAGCTCTTTTTCAATGAGTAAAAAAAGGTAAAAAAATTTGAGCGAAATCAAAAATGTCCAAGTCGATGATATGTTGGAATGGCGTGGACCGCCCCATATAGAGAAAAACAAGAAAAATTACTGGAAGTGACATTTTTATGGATATATAATCCGGACCCTTCGTTTTAGTTTTAATATGATTGAGGTTCCTGAGTAAGGTATCCGGACCGACGTCAAAAAAGAAAAACTTGTTTTCGTCAAACCCATCTGTATTATTATTTGAAAATATGGCAGTAGGTAGAGAGGTTAATACCGGTGTAACAGAAAAACTTTTAATAATTCATTTTCTTCGAAAATACAAAATTTTGATTTTTTATTGGGTATTAAGTTAGGTTTCTTCAGTGTATGCAAAAAATCTTTAAACAAATATTTTAACAATTTTTTTAAACAATTTAAGTTGAAAAACCAGGTCAAAAATGAAAAAAGTCCGCCATTTTGTTTTTTTTTCATTAAAAATAGTTGATTGTTGTTTCGACGATAGCGACAAGCTTACTTTTCAAGAAAATATCAAAAATTTTATTTTTCCATGACCTGAGTTGGAGATATCGTGTCCGCCAATCACAAGTGGGGGTATTTTCAGGCGACCATGACAGCAAAATAATCCTTATAAATAAGGAATAAAATTTTTTTTAATAGTTTAAAACCCCTTATGTGTGTATAAAAAGTTTGAAGTAAATAAAATAAATTTTGTAATAAAGAAAAATATTTAAGAAAAGTCACTGAGATGTGGTACTAACCCAGCAAACACGTTATGTATCAGCTACATAACAAATAGGTCACATTTTTATGTCACTCTGTGACATTATTTATATATAACCATTATATAATGAGAATGTAACGCAGTGATATTCTGTTATTCTATGGTGATATAATTGTTACATAATTTGTATACGTATATAATATATAACAATATGATATATTTATTAAATCACAATGTGGTAACTTTTTGTATGTCACATTGTTCTTTATTTGTTAGGTAACTATTATGAAACTATGTAATGCATACTTATGTATGAGTTGATAAATTTATTGATTTTTAATAAACGAATGATTTAATAAATATATAATATTGATTAATTTATACTTATTATTACTTTTATTTGAATAGTTTTTTTTGAAAATTTTCTCTTTAATTGAATTTAAAAATTATAAATTAAAATTTAAAAAATTATAATGCAGAAAAACTAATATGCCATGAAATTTTTGTAACTTGCATAAAATTAAATTTCGGCGGGCACATAATTATGTACAAAGGGATCTTTTCAGAGATTAATTTATATTTTATATATAATTACATAATTTATAATTTAATTGAGGAAATGTAATTTAACCACGAAGTATTGTCAGGTTTTTTCAAAAACTGTCGGTGAGGGAGGGTGTTGAATTTTTTTGAAAAATTTGAACAGTGAATTTTTGAAGACTTATAACTTTTAAACAGAAAAAAAATTTGTCTTATATGTTTTCAAAAGATTTTTTCCTGCTCTTTTTAATGGTGCAAAAAAATTTAAATTTTGACCCTTTTTTTGAAAATTAAACTTTTTTTCGAATTTTTTCTTAAGTTCGGTCCATTTTATTTAATTAATTTTTTTTAAAGCTAAAAATGTATATTTTCACCACAAAAAATATTGAGATGTCCTTTTTCGGTTTTTTCGAGATATTAATTAATTAATGTTAATAAAAAATAAAATATTTCACAAATAAATAAAGTTATTGCAATCCTGAAAATACCAATTAAAAGATGACGTAATTCAGCATCTAACGAGCCCTATATAGACTATTTTAGATTAGATGATTTTTTATAAACAATTGCCATGTTAGGAAATTGTTTATTAACAATCCACTAACCCAAAGTAATTCATATAGGGCTCGTTGGATGCGGAATTTTGTCAACTTTCAATTAGTAACGTCAGAATTACGATACCTTTTTTGGTTTATAAAATATATAATTTTTTATTAATTTTAACAGTTAATTAATTAACTAAAAATTGTGAATATTATATAAGTAAATAAAAAAAATTTTGACATATATGTTTTCCAAATGTTTTTTTGTGCTTTTTCGATTGGTGAAAAAATATTTCAAAAAATTTAATATTTGACCCTTTTTTCTGAAAATCAAAAATTTTTTTGACTTTTTTTTAAGTTCGGTTCTTTTTATTGTTTTTAATTTTTTTTATTAAAGTAAAAATTGTGCATTTTTACCTCAAAAAATATTGAGATGTCCTTTTTTGATATTTTCGAGATATTAGTTAATTAATTAACTGTTAAGATTAATAAAAAATTATATATTTTATAAACCAATAAAGGTATCGTAATTCTGACGTTACTAATTGAAAGTTGACAAAATTCAGCATCCAACGAGCCCTATATGAATTACTTTGGGTTAGTGGATTGTTAATAAACAATTGCCTAACATGGCAATTGTTTATAAAAAATCATCTAATCTAAAGTAGTCTATACAGATCCCTTTGTAAATAATTATGTGCCCGCCGAAATTTAATTTTATGCAAGTTACAAAAATTTCATGGCATATTAGTTTTTCTGCATTATAATTTTTAAAATTTTAATTTATAATTTTTAAATTCAATTAAAAAGAAAATTTTCAAAAAAAATTATTCAAATAAAAGTAATAATAAGTATAAATTAATCAATATTATATATTTATTAAATCATTCGTTTATTAAAAATCAATAAATTTATCAACTCATACATAAGTATGCATTACATATATTTTAAAATAAAATATACTGAAGGAAATTTTGTGACTGCCCTGACGCGAGATTCAGTTTTTTAGAAGGGGTTAACACGGGTTCGACTCGCGACGGAAAGCACAATACACACAGGAACAACACTTGACGAGAATTCTCCAGGTGCGGCTACACTGGCGGTAGAGAGCGAGAGAAAGAATGTTCATAAGCACTGCAGAATTAATGACCATTTAAAAGGTGAACTTACCGTAGTGCGCTGGCTCTCTACGACGGATATATTCCCCTTTTGTAGTGATTTGGCAAACACAAGACGTAAAACAGATTTGAATTAAATGCACGAAAGATTATGGAACACAACTATTATATTTATTAATACAAAGAACAAATTATTATCACTTAATGTGATTCGCGTACAGTTTGCGACAAAGTCCGCGACTCGCAACAATTATATGCTTATTCGCCTATGGCTCGCAGCAATCTGCCGGTTGGCGTTGTTTCGCTTAACACGCGGTTTTGTCGTCTGCTATTTCAGTCGCGAGAAGTATCGAATCGATACGCATCAAGAGATCGACAATCGATTAATCGAAGTCGAGCAGTGACGACGATTTAAATAATTAATTCGGTTCGTTACAATCCCCCTTACTTAATCGGAGTCACTGCTGTATTCGATTCTCGGCGCTGGAAAGAACATAATTAGTAAACATACAAAAAAAACATTTTTTTATTAGTTCACCTTATTTGGTCATTGCAATCATAATAAGTAAAAGTTATTTAGTTAAAAGAAATATAAAAAGAATATTCAGATTTGAATTTAAAAATGAAATGGAAATAATTTTTTTTTTTTTTTTTTTTTTTTTTTTTTTGAAAATAAGAGAAATTATAGTGCTTATTAACGTTCGTTCTCTTTGGGGAATAATGCGTTAATCGATTACAAAATGGTATTAGATTTTATTGCGAACGAATGGTTGTAATGTAATACAAAATTGTAGTAGAAGAATAGAGTAGTTTTCTAGGAGCGAGTATTTTGTATTGCGCTAAAGAAAATCTATAACTAATATAAGGATACAATGATTTTATGAAACTGTGCTCGAATATCGCGAAGATGTATATAAAACTAAAAAATATTGTGGAGTATGAAAATTCGCGTTTCAAGCATTGCAAAAAATATGAGTAACAAAAAAAACTAAAATAATACTTATAAGTAATAATATTCACAGCACTTAGCAATATTTGCTTAAACTAAAAATGTCTCTAAGTACTGGTAATGTCTCTTGCGAATTTTCGCAATTTTCACTCTTCTTCGTCCTTGATGCTAAGCTTATAGGCTTGACAAAGTGTTTCCCACAGATCTGCATTGTTGTCATCGGAGTCAAATGGTGCTAGTATTCTGCTGGGATCCCGTGAGTCATTTCCAGCGATCTCTGAAGGTATCAGTTCTGGAGATGTTTTTCGCGTAACTGGACTTCTGGGTTTAGAAGCTTCGTCGTCAACTTTGCATGTTTCTTTTTGCGATGTTCTTTTGTTCTGCAGTGTTGGTTTCTCGATCGTGCGTTTGACGAGCTCTATTATCTGCTGGTCTCTTTTCGCGATTTTGATCTCGATAACTCTTCTGCGGCATTCACCACAGTTGACGTCAGGCAAGTTCTTTGGTCTCTTGCATACTTTGCAGCGTTGATGTTCCGGTACGTCGAACTTTCCATCTGCGACGTGTGGCCATGGGCATTCGTCGGTGCTAAAATCTGGGTTTGCGCATATTTGGCAAAATCGTTCGCTATATGCTTTTTTACAACACTTGAAGCTGTGTCCTGGTGACCCACAATTGAGACATCCTTCTGGTGCTCTTGGTCTGATTCGAATTTCGCGAAGTTCTGACTGCATTTTAAATACTTCAGAGACTTTGTGTCGGAACAGATCGCGTGTACGGTGATACAATTTCTCGAGGTAGTTGTAGTCGGCAAGTAGTGAGTTGTAGTCAATTTCATACGAGTCGACCAACTTCTTCTGCTTTGTAGCTTCAGACTTAAAGTGAAGTGCCTCTTCTTTATATCTCGGCAGTTGCTCCGCCAGTTTCTGCTTCTCTTGCAGCAGTTCAGTGAGCATCTTGTAGTGTGTTGCTACGTCGGGAACGCCATTAGTGTTCGTAGTCGCTTCGGTTTCGGAAAGCTTATCGCGGAGGTCGTTGATGGTTTTATGAGCTTCCATCAATTGATCAGAGAACTCTTGTCGCGAGCTTACAAGGCTTTCAAAGTCTGTCTTGGATAACGCGATGAGCCCTGATGGTCGGTTAGAGAACTCCACCTGCTTGCCTTCGTTAGAGATCACGGAGATTTGGATCACTGGGATCTCGGGAAGCTTGAGTGAATTGGCAGTGTTGTTGACCGTTGAATCCATATTGAATCTGAAAAGAGAGTTACAATTTGTTTTGCGATCGAAGACCCCTTTTTGCGAGTTTTAAATCATTTACATGGTATTTACCAATTTTTTTACCATGTGTGTCGCTGATAATAACCACCATGGGTGATAATTTTTCTGTAATAATGGCTGGGCCTTTATATCGAGGCGCTAATTTTGAACTATATCCTTCAATAGCTTTAGATAATTTATTATTTGGATAGAACACTAAATTACCAAGTTCGAAATGTATATCATTTTTACGATTTTTATTATAAATTTTTCTTTGTTTTTCGGAAGCTTTAGCCATTAATTTTTGAACTTTTGCACGGAGAATGTCTATGCGTTTTACCCTTTCTGTCCAGGCGTTGGTCGTATAGTCATTTGTCAATTTAGCGTCAGTTTGGCAATTTTGTTCTCCCATGCGTCTTGGTTCGCGAGCGAAGTTCAAGAATGCGGGGGTGACACCTAAGGAGGAATGGACGGTAGTGTTATAAGCAAATTGTATTTCTTCTAACAACAAATCCCATTCGCGTTGATTTTCGCCAAGGAGGCTGGCGATCATCATCTTGAGGTTGCGGTTAACGCGTTCGACGGGGTTTGACTGCGGGTGATAGACAGGCGTTGTGCGTTGTTCAGAACCGACTTCGTTAAGAAATTTCGCGATAGTGCGGTTAACGAATTCTGTTCCGTTGTCAGTAACAAATGTTCTGGGTGTTCCCCATTTGTTAATTAAAGTGTTTAATGACTTCACAATTTTTGGGCCATCGGCTTTCGATAAAGCGAAACATTCGATATATCGCGTATAAATGTCTTCGCAAACCAGGATATAAGATTTTCCTAATTTGGATCGCGGAAGTGGGCCTACAATATCTAATGAAACAATGTCCCATGGTTCGCTAAATTTGCGTGGATACATGAGTCCTTGAGGGGGGTTGTTTTTAGGTTTACATTTTAGGCAAACTTCGCATTCATTGATATATCTTTTAATATCTTCGCGTATACCGGGCCAGTAATAATGGTTAATAATTGATAAATAAGTTTTATTTATGCCTTGATGTGCGGACTGTGGAGAGTCGTGATATTTAGAAATAATCGGAAGTATTTCATTTTCTTTCAAAACTTTCTTCCATGCATTATTATCGCCTATGCTTTCCTTGAGTTGATTAGGTTTGTAGTAATACAGATTGCTGTCTGAGTCAAGTCTGTATCGTTCGTAGCGCGTGGGGGTATTGCGTACGCGTTCAACCATTTCATCGTACCAAGATATGCTGTGGGTGCGACTAAGCTGTAAAGTGGGCGTGTCCTCGGGGACATTCTCATAGAGGCGCGAAAGAGTATCAGCTGCTTCGTTGGTGGTACCTTTGCGATGTTCAATTTTCGCATTGTTTGCTGATAATTCTAACGCCCATCGAGCAAGTCGACCTCGCGAATCTTTTAGGTTTTGCAACCAAACCAGACTAGAATGATCGGTGATAACCGTAAATTCTGTAGCTTCGAGATAACAGCGCAATTTCTTAATCGCAAAAATCACAGCTAAGCATTCCTTCTCAGTGGTAGTATAATTTAACTCTGCACCTCTCAAAGGTCTGCTCAGACATGTGATGAGATATTCTCTATCTTCGTCTTTTTGCGTGAGAATGGCACCTATGCCGGTGTCACTTGCATCTGTGTATAAGAAGAATGGTAAATTTGGTCGCGGTGCATTTAGCGTTAATGCATTTTTCAATAAATTTTTTACTTCTTGGTAAGCTTCCTCGTGTATTTCTGTCCATTTCCACGGTACTTTGGGACTAGCTAATTTATTTAATGGACCTTGTACTCGCGCGATGTTTCGCAAATGTCTATGGTACCAGTTCACGGAACCGTTGAACTGACGTAGTTCTTTGCGATTACGGGGGGTAGGACGTTCTAAAATCGGATCTACGCGTTTCGAATTAGGTTTAAGACCTTCTTTATCAAGAATAAAACCAAGATATTCGACTGAAGATTTTGCGAAATATGATTTTTCTCGATTTATCGTGAGACCTGCTTTGTGAAGAATATCAAGGACAATATTTAACAACAAGATGTGTTCATCGAACGTTTTGGAAATGATAATCCAGTCGTCGAGGTACGCGTGTACTTGATCAACATAGTGTTCGGGTAAATTGTTTATGCGGATATGTTCAACAAATTTTTCTTTTAACCTATCGGTTAATTCTTGAAAAGTGGCTGGTGAATTTGTTAGGCCAAAAGGCATTCTAACCCATTCAAATTGGCCACGGCCAGGTACTACAAAACCGGTGTATTCACGTGAATCGGGATGAACTGGTACATGGTGAAATGCGTCTGTAAGGTCAATTGTGCTAATAATGTTAGCTTCGAATAGTGCGTCCAGGATAGTGTCCATGCGCGGTAGTGGATAAGCTGATTTTTTAGTATTTTTATTTAATTTGCGGAAATCCATGCAAACTCTTGGTCTGCCATCTTTGCGATACGTGAGGACAATTGGACTTGCAAAACGACCGGAACTTCTAACTATAAATTTCTTTTCGAGATATTTATCAATTTGCTCGTTGATTATTTTATTTGCTTCAGTACTGTAACGATGTGCTTTGAGCTTAAATGGTGTTGGGTCGATTAATTCGATAACGTGAGTCGCAAGGTCAGTGATGCCGGTGTAATCGGCGAAGTTTGATAATTTTTTATCAATAAATTCGTCGAGAGTTTTTCTTTGTTCGGATGTTAATTCTAGCAATTGTACCGAATTCAGAAAATTACGCGTATTGTTTGTTGAAACAATAGGGCTTTGCGCTTTCGATCCTTTTATAGACCAATAGCCTTCACTGGCGTCTATGACGACTTGCCATGCGGTTATGAAATCCATGCCTAATATTATGGGCGTGGTTAATCCGTCGAGGATTGCGAACCAAAGTTCACCAATACAATCTTTTATTTTAACGTCAAATTTTATAGAATATCGCGGCGCTGCTACGTGATCACGTTGAGCTAGTTGTACTCCTGCGCGTGTAATTGCGTCTAGGATTGGATTATTATTCGCGAATTCTTTTAATTGATCGTATATTTCTCCTGACATAAAGGTGCGATCGCTACCTGTGTCGATGAGACCAATAATTTCTTTTCCGCCAATATTTATCGATGTGGTGATTGTGCGACGTTTCTGTGACGGTAGGGGCGGTGCTGGCCCTTTGTGTACTAAGCGCTTGAATTTACTGGCTGCCGCTAATAAGCCAACAGCTGGTTGTGACGAGGGCTTTGACATGAGTGATGATATGCTCGCCTCTACCAATTTCGAATTTTCGGTAGTGGGGAGCTCATTGCTCGAGTCAGTGTACTCTGTCTCAGAATCTGAGTAGCATATGTCATCATACTCGCTTTCGGAGTCACTGGTGTAATTCCTGCTGGCATGCGCTTGGTTAAGCGCTGATGCATTTTGAGGAATACACGTTGAGTCGTTTGCGGTGTGACTGCAACTGGGGAGTGCACGGTTAACGATAATATTGCGGTTTTTTGAATTTATTTTCGTATCATAGGGATTTTCCGTATTTTCATTAATAATAATTGTTGATTTGCCAGGGAGATCTATTCTCTCCTGGCATCTTTCTCGTTTTTTGGAGAGAAAGGGTTAGGTGCGTTGTAACTGAACATGCTAGGATAGTCGCGATTATAATTACCGAACCAAGGTGGTACCTGCGGTAGCGTTGGTGCTTGCGGGGGTTGGAGCGGTTGTTGCGCGTTACCAGGTTGACTGAATTGCGCAAGAAATTGGTAGTAATCGTGATTATTGTAACCGCGACCACGACCTCGTCCACGTCCACGGTAATTATTGTGATTTCTATCTTTGCGTTTATCGTAGTGGCCTTTGTCTCGTCTCGAGTCTTGGCTACGGTCTCGACTTCTGCGCGTTGACGGTCTACTCTTCCCCCCTTCTCTTCGCGACGACACGGAACGTGAGGAGCGAGAGGAACTTGAAGTGGAACGGCGGCGCGATTTACGGGCCTGTGGTGGGGATGAAGGTGGTTTCTTTTCACCTTTACCACTTTCTACTTTTAAGTTTTCGTTCGGCGGTAATTTTGCTTCTAGTCTTTTAATTTGTTGCTTGTAAATTTCGAGTTTATTTAAACTAATTTCTGGTTCGCTTTTGTTTTGTTTTTTATTGTTTTTTGATTTTTTTGACTCAATGTTCTTTTTTGTTTCCGTTTGCGGTTCTGATTTTTGAGTGGAATCAGTCGCAAGAGGGGGTGTTTCAATTGCGTTTAATACATTTTTACTACGTTTGTTGTGGGTTTTCTTAGAATCTTGTTCGCGAATTTTTGAAGTAAATTGCATTGTTGCAATTTTTTCTTCGTATTTGCGAATTTTTTTAATTAAACCGTCGTAGTTTGCGAAACTGTCGCGATCAAATTGCAAAATTAAGTCAGCGTGAAGCGCTGAGTAAACTTTGTCAAGTTGACTTTCTTCGGGTACTTTGTGTTGAAGTTTATTGTATAATGAGCCTATTCTTATTACGAATTCAATTCCTGATTCGTCCTCAAGTTGGACAGCGCGTTGAATTTTATTTGTGATGCGTTGATCATCATTGGATTCGCCAAATATTGATCGAAATTTGACTGAAAATTCAGTCCACGTGTTCCACGAATTGCGAAATGTCGCGAACCATGTGTAAGCGGATTCGACAAATACTTGGGATAACGTTGAGAGTGCGTCATCGGGATTGATATTGGATGCATCTAGTTTGCGTTCGAATTCGTTGATGAATTCGTCTGCGTCTAGTTTTCCTGGGAATTTTAATTCCCAAGATTTTACAACCTTGTGTAAATTAGCAATATGACTTTGGTGTACTGGTGGAGGTCTTGCGATAGGTTCTTGAGTATTAATTGGTGGTAAGTTAAGAGAGTCATTTAAAGATTGAGTTTGATCGAATTTTTCTAATTGTTCGCTAAATTGTAAGGTTCTGTTGCGAATAGGGGCACTTAGTGAAGGTGTTGGAGCTAGTGGTGGGGGTATAGTTGGTGCTATTCCTGTGCTCATTGTAGCGTAAGTCCCTGTGTTTGTAGTTGTTACTGTAGTAGTGGTACATGTAGGTGGTAGGGATGTAGGCTGTGTTACCTGTTGTGTACTAGCGCGATAGCCAGGGTCAATTGATTCCCATCGAGAATCGTGCCATGGAGATTGCGTTTGCCTAACTTGCAAATCCGAAATTTTTTGCGAGAGAGATTCGATCATTTTGTTCACTTCGCTTCGATTTTCTTGAATTAATTTATTTGTTTCTAATTGATTTGTTTGAATTAATTTAAAAGTTTCTATTTTAAGGGTATTTATTTCATTTGTGCTATGTTTTAAATTTTCTAATCGTGCTGCGTTTATTTCGCGACGATTTTCAGCATAAAAATTGTTTAATTGTAAGCGGGATTCATTTAAATTGCGATCTAACATTTGTTGCATGTGGCGTTGAAAGTCATTATTTTGTGCCGTTTGATTTGCGTGAATAGTGTTAAAACGTGTGAGAACTTGTGTTATCGCTTTGTTAGTTATTGGGGTTGGAGTTTTTGATTTTCGGCCACGACGCGTTTGAATTGAGATTTTTGGGGTTGTCCCTGGTTTAAAAGGTACAAAAAATGTCGATTCGTGGTTGCTAGCTTGATTGCTGGTAGCGTTATGCGTTTCGTTGTTGCCATTTTTTTTGTTTATTGTAGAATCTCTGTGTGGGGATTCTAAATTCAAAGGATCTGGGTTGAGAATCACTGACTCTGTATTATCAGTGGTTGTCTCTTGTGGCGCGGTAAAATTTGCTTCTGAATTTTTTGGGGGAGGGGGAGTGGTAAACATTTTGTTTGTTTTTGTTCGTGATCTGGTTGTCGCTCCTGGTGGTAGGGTCTTTTTCTTGTTAGTCATTAAGAGAGGGTATTAAATTTGCAAAAGTTCATTAAATAAAAAGAGAGATTTTTTTTTTTTTTTGATGATCTTTAGAATTAATTTAAAAAGAAAAATTGTATTTATTTTTATTTTTTATTCATTTGTTTTTCCAATTTTTAATTAGTACAGCAACAAATGAAAATTAATTAATTATTTGAAAATAATAATCTCATCTGTTGGTTGGAAAAAAATGAAATTAATTAAATTTTGATTAATTCAAAATTTGTGGTTTTGTAATTTCAAATATTAGAATTTGAAAGAATTTAATTTGGAAAGGAATGACTAAACCCTGCGAAAAACAATGTTGAGCTGTGAATGTAAACACAGCTGTGTTTTGGTTGCATAATCGAACGATGAATCCAGTGTTCTATAGAGGTTACTTTTAGGCAGCATTTATTTTTTTATTAAAATAAAATTGCCCATGGTAATTTTTATCACGAACAGCACTTAAAAATTTTCAAAAAATTTTACAGAAAGAAAAAAATATAGCGAATTCTGTATAGAAAATGAGATAATAAGCGAAGTTCTACACAAAAAATTACAAATAAATTTTCTACATAAGCAAAGTTCTACATAAAAATCATAAATAAATTTTCTAGATGAGCGAAGTTCTACATGAAAAAAAAATTACAAATAAATCTTGTATATCGAAGAAAGTGAAGCAGATGCGTTTTGTTATAAAATTAGCGAAGCGTAATAATGTTTAATATTTTAAAGCAATAGAATTTTTAGAAGCAATTATTTACTTTTAAAATTGAGATTGTGCGAGCTAATAGTGTTTGTTAGAGAATTTTCATCAGTGTGTGTGCCTGTGTTTTTTTTTTTTGCGATCGAGAATTTAAAAAGAATTTGTTACAAATTTCTCAAAATTCGCGATGTTTTAGTAAAAAGGTAATTTTACTTTTATTTGTAAAAAAAAATAAAAACAAATTTGGCTTCTAATTGGGACTAAAGTCGCAATTTGGCCATGGAAAAATAAAATGTTAATTTTATTATAAAAGAAAGAGTACTTTAGGCGCCATTTTTGTGACTAAGTGCACAAATATGGCTTATGAAAAATACACGTTGGGCGCCATTTTTGTGACTGCCCTGACGCGAGATTCAGTTTTTTAGAAGGGGTTAACACGGGTTCGACTCGCGACGGAAAGCACAATACACACAGGAACAACACTTGACGAGAATTCTCCAGGTGCGGCTACACTGGCGGTAGAGAGCGAGAGAAAGAATGTTCATAAGCACTGCAGAATTAATGACCATTTAAAAGGTGAACTTACCGTAGTGCGCTGGCTCTCTACGACGGATATATTCCCCTTTTGTAGTGATTTGGCAAACACAAGACGTAAAACAGATTTGAATTAAATGCACGAAAGATTATGGAACACAACTATTATATTTATTAATACAAAGAACAAATTATTATCACTTAATGTGATTCGCGTACAGTTTGCGACAAAGTCCGCGACTCGCAACAATTATATGCTTATTCGCCTATGGCTCGCAGCAATCTGCCGGTTGGCGTTGTTTCGCTTAACACGCGGTTTTGTCGTCTGCTATTTCAGTCGCGAGAAGTATCGAATCGATACGCATCAAGAGATCGACAATCGATTAATCGAAGTCGAGCAGTGACGACGATTTAAATAATTAATTCGGTTCGTTACAATTTAAATAATTTAAAAAGTTAATAAGAAAAAAATGTTGCTTAAAAAATTAAATAAATATTCATGTGTTATGTCACATAGTTTCATAATAGTTACCTAACAAATAAAGAACAATGTGACATTCAAAAAGTTACTACATTGTGATGTAATAAATATATCATATTGTTATATAACATATACGTATAGAAATTATGTAATAATTATATCACCATAGAATACCATAGAATAATTAATATAATGTTACAAAGTGACATAACAATGTGACCTATTTGTTATGTAGCTGATACATAACGTGTTTTTTGGGTAACCATTATTGCAAGATTATTACCTAAAAATACATGCAAAATATTTTTTATTCTTAATAAAAATATTAAAACTTGATGTAATAGAAAAAGGAAACTCTAAAATAAACATAGTTAGAACAGTGGCAAACTTCAACTTTTCTCTAACAAGATCGCTCCATAGGCTAATACTCTAACCATTCTGCTACCCTAACATGGGAATATAAATACAAAATTGACTTGATAACTTGCGACTGAGAAGGATTTAAAAACTGTATTGCTTATATAAAGAGAAAACAATAAAACTATGTGATATATAAAACAAGTTGTAAATTCAGATGTTCATTACATGAACATTTTGCTTCCTCTTTACGATCAGCAAAAAAATTTGCTTCCTCGTGGAGAAAGCAAAATTTTATTGCCAAAATGTGAATTTTTGATTTTTTAACTTTCATTAATTCTTTAAATTTACCTCAAATGTATACTTTATGTATATCGATCGATTCGTCTTGACGTAAGGAATACGATTTTATTATATGAAGAGCTCCACGGAATAACGATCTATGGCACAATTGAAAAGCTTGATTATGAGCTTTCAAAAAATATAAAAATTTTATAAATTAATAGCTGTAAGCGAATTATTGTAACTAATAGAATTAATAATAGTTACCAAAAGTGTAATAAATAACAATTTACATATACATACTTATTACAAATTTCATGAAAATTTACGTTTTTTGAAAGCTCATAACCAAACTTTTCAATTGTGCCATAGATCGTTATTCCATGGAGCTCTTCATATATAACCTTAAATTTTTCTATTTAAAAATTTTTTCGATTAAAAAAAAAATTTTGGTAAAAAGACGATAAAATTTGTTTTTTTAGGTATTTTTTAAAATCCTTTGGTCAGATTTGAGATATTAATATGATAAATGAGCCTACCAAATTTTATCTAAATCCATTAAAATCTGTTAAAGTTATCTTCTAAACAAAAAAGGGATCCACACACACACACACATACACACACATACATACATCCGGACAATTGATCAGGATCTCATATAACATGTTTCTATAAAGAAAAAAATTTGTTTCCGCCACTTTGAAAAGTTTTATAAACGAAAGGACTACAAAGCTTCCTCCACGAGGAAGCAAAATTTTTGAGTTTTTTAAGTTTAACTACATACTTAAGTAAAATGAACTATTTATTTATTCATTCCATAGAAAATAGTTAAGGTACTTATGAACACTTCAAAATTTTTAAGCTCTGGTACAAATATATTCCAGAACTAAACTTCATCAAAATTTTAAAACAGTTACATATCATTGTTCTGATATAGTTCTAGAAATATGATGGAACATTAGTTACAGTAAATTTGTGGATGTAGTGTTATAGAAATGTTATGTAACACTGTTGCAGAATTGTTTCGATTTGTAGGTATAAATGTCATCCAGAACTAATCTGCAACAAAATTTTAGAACAGCTACATAAAATTTTTTAGACACAGTTCTAAAACTACGTTGGAACGTCAGTTACAGATCATTTGTGATGATTGTGTTACTGAAATGGTACATTACATTGTTACATAACTGTAAAGTTAGCATAATATAGAACAGATCGATAACTCCCTTGTAACAATGTTCTAGAATTCTGTTACAATAAGGTTATATAACAGATTCATAACCAGATTGTAACAAATGTTCTATAAAACTGGGTCCTCACTGTTATATAACATTTATAGAACGTGTTTGCTGGGAATGCACTGAAAAAAACTAATTATAAAAATTCTACTATCGTTTCTTAATTAAATGCATTTGTATTAAGTCAAGTTGTTAAATTATTTAAGTATTAAATTATTTTATTAAGTAATTAAAAAAGGTTTAAGTAAAATTTTGAATATTATTTAATTTTTAATTAAAATAATAAATAAATTTTAAATGAATATTATTGGCTTCATTTTCTTTAGATTCCGTAAAGCCGTAATACAATTTTTTTTTCTTTTTCGAACTTAAAGAGGAGACTGCCGTGCGTGTACACTTCATGTAAGTTTCATCGCAAACGAAGGGGGGGGCACATAAATCATATAAATTGCTTATAAAATTGTTATTAAAAATATCGATTTTTTAAGTTTACAATTTGGCAATTATATATTCATTAAAAAGAAGTCATTTTTTTTATATACTCAGTATAAGTTTCTTTAATTTATAGCAAACGGTTATTAAGTTATTAATTTTTTTTTATAATGTTGAAAAATTTTATTAATGCAAAAAAACTAACAAAAATTTAAAATTTCAAAAAACGATTACAAGTGTTTTTTATAGTAAACTACAGATTTTTCTAAAAGTTTTAATATGTTAGAAAATCAATGAAAATTTTTTGACACGGTTGACCTGGACTTACTCTAAAATTTTTTTTTAATATTTACCCTTAATATTACTTCCATGTCGTAAATTTCTCTTTCTCTCTTTTCTCGGGTTTTTTGACAGTAGAAAGGTTCGCATTTTGGAAGTTTTCTCTCAGCAATGTAGAGTAATTTCGATTTATCCGGTGAAAATTGAAATGAACTGAACTCAGCTGTAAAGAAATAGTTTAATATAGTACATATGTAAAATAGTAGAATAAATTATTTAAACTTTAAATTGAACCCTGGAAAAAAATCACGCTTAGTGCTTTTAGTGGTCTGGCAGATTGCTATTCCTTTTTTTTCTGTTTATCTAGTGATTTTAAATTATGTAATGACAACTTTCGTATATATATAATATGGGGTAAAATTCATGTAGCAAACTCAGTGAAAAAAGAGTTGATCGGATCTGGCTGTAACTTTCACATAGTTTAGCCTTAGGGGTGAGTAATTTAACCACAAAATATTGTTAGGTTTTTTCAAAAACTGTCGGAGAAGGAGGGGGGCGAATTTTTTTGAAAAATTTAAACAGTGAGTTTTTGAAGACTTGTAACTTTTAAACAGAAAGAAGAAAAAAATTTTGTCCTATATTTTTTCGAAAGATTTTTTCCTGCTCTTGCGAATGGTGCAAAAAAAATTTCAAAAAATTCAATTTTCGACCCTTTTTATTTAAATTAAATATAGGATAATTAAATATTAAATATAGGACAAAATTTTTTTCTTCTTTCTGTTTAAAAGTTACAAGTCATCAAAAACTCACTGTTTAAATTTTTCAAAATAATTCTACCCCCTCCCTCTCCGCCAGTTTTTGAAAAAACCTAACAATACTTTGTGGTTAAATTACTCACCCCTTGGGCTAAACTATGTGCAAGTTACAGCCCGATCCGATCAATTTATTTTTCACTTAGTTCGCTACAGGAATTTTACTTTTACCCCATATGAGGCAAAAATCCTGAATTGTCCGAACAAAAAATTAAAAGTTCTCGAATTTAATCCATACTTTTCTAAAATGTTGTCATTGTTAGTAAAAGTAGTTTATAAGTAGAATGCATAAAAGTTAACAAATATATAATGATTTTTAAAGCTTTTTTGACGGGCTAAACGATGGTGATAAATTTTTTTTTTAAATAAAATTTGATCTTGAATTTCAAGGTTAAAATGTTAATTTACGTATATCTCAAAATCAAATTTTTTTTTATTTTTATTAACTATCTCAATGAAAAGCTTGACTAATTTTCTACAAAACATGTAATTTTCAGAATGGGAGCTTTTAAAGTTTTTGAGATATTAATTAATTAATTAATTAATTAATGCTTATAACAAATGAAATATTTTACAAACAAATGAAGTTATGGTATTGCTGAACTTACCAAGTGAAAGTTGCATCGAACGAGCCATATATGAAGTATTTTGGATAAGTAGATTGTTAATAAACAAATGCAATGTTAACTAATTGTTTATTAACAATCTACTTATCCAAAATACTATATATAGGGCTCGTTGTATGCGGAATGAAATTAACTTTCAATTGCTAACTTCAGAATTACGGTGACTTTATTTGTTTGTAAAATATTTCATTTGTTATAAGCATTAATTAATTAATTAATTAATTAATATCTCAAAGACTTTAAAAGATCCCATTCTGAAAATTACATGTTTGTAGGAAATTATTCAAGCTCTTTATTGAGATAGTTAATAAAAATAAAAAAAATCCGATTTTGAGATATACGTAAATTAACATTTTAACCTTGAAATTCAAGGTGAAATTTTATTTAAAAAAAAAATTTATCACCATCGTGTAGCCCGTCAAAAAAGCTTTAAAAATCATTATATACATATATGTTAACTTTTATGCATTCTACTTATAAATATTGTACATTGAAAATTTTTTTTTCAAAAGTCAAAAATTAAAATCGTAATTTAAAAACTATTTTATTAAATTCAATATTAATTGATTTTTAGACTTTTACTAACAATGACAACGTTTTAGAAAAGTATGGATTAAATTCGAGAAGTTTTAATTTTTTGTTCGGACATTTCAGAAATTTTGCCTCATATGTGTGGAATATGTGTGTAAAGCGATTTTTTGATCCTAAGAATATTTTCCTTTCTATACAGAGTCGTGAACTCACCGACGTTTCAAATCTGAGGTCGTAAGTAGCCCTCCATATTGGATCCGGTATTTTGAATTTTGAAAATCTGACATCATATTCGTAATCAGCGACCCCAAAAACCCTTGAGTAACGAATTTCAGGCAAATTGAATGGGTTTGTATAGAGTAGATAAATATTACACATAAAACATAAAAATGTTCCCAAAACTTTAAACGCGTTTTTCTTGAAACAAGATTTTTCAAACTGGTGGGCATCGTAACGTCTAAACTATTTAACCAATCAAGTTCGGATTTGTAGCTCATTAAAGGTAACTAAATTCTGATGGGGTTATACCTTTAATATGATACAATTGCTAACAAATAAAATTTTTACAAGAGGTCAAACATGAAAAAATATGGCAAAAAACGCAGTGTTTTAAAAAAGTTACTGACATTTTGTCATTTGTTTAACTTTTTAACTATTTTATAGGTATAACCTATTCTTTAGAATGTCACCTTTTATAAAAAATTTTGACTTTTTGTTTAGGACTCAAAATTCCGCAGTGTAGAATGCCTACCGTATTCTCTATTAAAAAACATTGTTTACTATGTACGCCATATTGATCGTCATTTTAAAATTTTTTTTAATAAAATATATGTTTTAAAAGTTCAAGGATGTACCTTTCTTTAAAAAAAATACATCACTAAGTCATAATCGTTCCCTACAAAAAATTGTCAAAGTTTATGTTGATTTTGTTATCCGCAATGTGAACCTTCTTTTTCCTGAAAAATTGTCTGGCGCACAACCTGCAGACAAGCTGGACCGTGGTCGAAGCCCATCAGTCTGATAACGTGATAGACACATTTGTTATCTAGGTAAGTTGCTGTTATATTATAGTACTGAAGAATTGTTGGCAGTATTCTTACAAATGTAGATATTATGTGGGTATTATTAGGAATAAATAATATTAGTTTAAATTACCATCAGTGTAAATTTCTCCATGAGCATCATATACTGAAAGATCATAATTTTTAACTAAATGTTGTCTATCCCAAATTTCGATAAATTGTTTTGCAACGTTGTCAACTGTACTTTGCCTTAAAATTGCTTTATATTGTTCATCTTCCGAGCAAGTACTCAGGATTCTGGAAAAATTTGTAAAAAATCACATATTAATATATTAGTTATGTAACCAATATTATTATAAGAACATTAGATTTTAAATAATGTTTATTAACATATTCGACATTAAAAACTTGTTTTTCTTTTCTTTTAATAAGTCATAATAACGACGAAGTATATATGTATTTACAATGACTAAAATAAAATTATGACTTATTAAAAGAAAAGAAAAACAAGTATTTAATGTCGAATATTATGATAATTATAAGTCGAAACGAAAAAATACATCATATCTTTAAAAGTAATGTTTATTAACTTTTATGGGACTGAGGAAAAAAATACCTTCTATGGGCAGACGAGGCACCCGGGTACCTATGTTTAATATATTAAAGATTTTGTATCAAAATGATCAGTTCAATTAACTTTAAGTGTAGTGGACGTTTTAATGAAAGTAATAATATCACATAAAATGAATATATATAAGTTTGAAACTTAATTGAAGTGGGGTACAAGATTTTTTAAAAAATGTAAAAAATTGATCAATTCGGGCTGTAACATGCACATAGTTTAGCCCTAGAGGTGAGTACTTTAACCACGAAGTATTATTGGGTTTTATCAAAAACTGTAGGAGCGGGAGGGGGTTGAATTTTTTTGAAAAATTTAAACAGTGAATTTTTGAAGACTTGTAACTTTTAAACAGAAAGACGAAAAAAACTTTGACATATATGTTTTTGAAAGGTTTTTTCCTGCTCTTTCGAATGGTGCAAAAATTTATTCAAAAAATTCAAAATTTGACCCTTTTTAAACTCAAAAATATTTTTGACTTTTTTTTAAGTTCAGTCTTTTTTTTCTTATTTATTTTTTTGAAAGTTAAAAAAAATTGCAGTAACTTTATTTATTTGTAAAATATTTCATTTTTTATTAACATTAATTAATTAATTAATATCTCGAAAATAATAAAAAAGGACATCTCAATATTTTTTGTGGTGAAAATACAAATTTTTAACTTTAAAAAAAAAATAAATAGGGGAGACTGGGGCAAACCGCCCATGTTAACAGTTGTAAGGCTCTAGTAACTAAAGAAACTAATGAAAAACGTTTTATAATTGCGCAACTTTTTCCTAGAGACACATGTACCTTAAAATGTATTGTTTAGCTGCTGCATCAATTTTAAAAAAATTTGCAAACTGGCCGGTTTGCCCCACCCCTGAGGTAAACCGGCCACCCCTCTGGGGCAAACCGGACAGTTTATTTTTTTTTGTTTAGAGAATTAATTGTAAAGAAAACATTACTAAATATATAAAATCAATAAACAATCTTCCCAATAAGGAAAATAATAAGATAAGATTAAATTTCAATTAAAGAAACATCTTATTTATTATAAAACAAATATTTTTAACTAATTGTTGTCGTTCACGAAGAAACGTCTGTCGGTGAACTTTGTAAAACTTCGTAAATCTCCGTAAAGTGGCCAAAGATTCACGAAACCGTGCACGAAGTTTTTTAGCCGATAGGTAATCTTCGTGAATTTCTGTTGCAAGGGAAACAGACATAGGCGGGTTTGCCCCACAGGCCCATTTTGACAATTAAGACCTGTATAAAAAAATGATTAGTAAAATTATTAAATAATATACCGATAAATTTAACTGAGGCAGGCACCTTTTAAACCTAAAAAACAATTTTAATAATTATTACACGATTTTCTCATAAATTGCTTATGAACAGATCCGTAAAAATTGCTAGCGGAAGCGAAAAAACAAACTTTTGTTTATAAAATTGCATAAACACAATTAAAAAATGTCAAACTGAAGAAATAAGTTGTTCTTAATATAGTCTTTTCAAATTTATAATTGACATATTTTAAAGTTTGACCATTTCTGAGAAACTAACACCTGGCCGGTTTACCCACATGGCCGGTTTGCCCCAGTCTCCCCTAAATAAAAAAAGACAGAACTTAAAAAAAATTCAAAAATATTTTTGATTTTTAAAAACGTGTCAAATTTTGAATTTTTAAAAAAAAATTTGCACCTTTCGAAAGAGCAGGAAAAAACCTTTCGAAAACCTACAGATCAAATTATTTTTAATCTTTCTGTTTAAATGTTACAAGTCTTCAAAAATTAACTGTTTAAATTTTTCAAAAAAATTCTACCCCCTCCCTCTCCTACAGTTTTTGAAAAAACCTAACAATACTTCGTGGTTAAAGTACTCACCCCTAGGGCTAAACTATGTTCAAGTTACAGCTTGATTAGATCAACTTTTTCTCACTTAGTACGCTACAGGAATTTTACTCCATACATGAACAATGCTAATAAAAAATTAGCATTATTCGTTGATTGAATAATCAAAAAAAAAATTATGTGCATTACTATAAAAATTAATAAAAATTTTTCAATGTAATTTTTTAATAGAAATTTCTACATTTATCTGCATGAAATGTATAGATGTACCCGGGTACCTTGTCAGTCCCATAAAGGTAAATATTTCATTTATAGTGATAATAGGCAATTAGCCTGTAAGCTTACATCAAACTTAAATTGCAACACTAAGAACATTACGGTGAAACTGCGGGCTTTTCATGCGAACAGCCAGAGCTTTCTGCAACAGGATCCGCTTAGATTCTCGCCTTTTCTGGGCGAATAGCGGACCCTGAGACAGAAAGCTCTAGTGGTTCTCATGTGAAACCAGCAGTTTCACCATAATTTTCTCAGTGAAGCTTGATAAAAACTTAGAAGTTTATTTTGGTATATGTTATCGTTAAAATCCGAAATCGATTAATGTGGATATTTACTAGTTAATCTGCGGATTAACTAAGATTCTCAGTTAAAGTGCGAAATTTGGACATCAACTAGTTAATGTTAACATTAACAGTGTTTCGATAGACTGGTACGACTTGCGATTAGGGATCCTAAATGCCGATCTGACTGGCTGTTGCAATTGGAAGATGCTTTTGACCTGCACAGTCTGAATGTTGATAGGACGTCCTTATCTTTGGACTCCGTGGTGCGAAATAACGACGTTATTCTTGAGAAATATGAGTACTTTCTAAGGGCTCTCGATCTGGAGCTACACGGAAAGACTTTGTGCATCACTTTCTGTCAAACTTGCCAAGAGATTTTAGTAAACTCGCGACCAAACTCGGAAAAAATGGAAAACTATCATTTTATATAAATGTTTTCAACAAAAAATGTTTTCTCTTTTATCAAAATTTAGTAGTCACGCTAAAAAATATTCATTAACGCTGTAAGAAAAATTAAGATTAAGAAAAAATGAATGTCAAAAGTATATTCTTTATAATTTGTAAGAACGACATTTTCGTTGCGTCGTGTTTATAATTTAGTAGTCTCACGATGAAAACAGCACGCATACAAACAAGCGAAGCTTGTCCGTGTAGCGTCAGCAGTTGAATAGTTCCGGCATAGATAGAAAAATGTCTACACAACGAACACTTTTAATAATCCTGTTTGCATAAAAAATTAATTCTGACATTTCCTAAAATTGACCTTATTAATAATATTAAATAATTTATTTTTTTGAAATTTTTTTATTGCACTTGAAATAAGTTTAAACATAATAAAAATTTTCTCGCAAGTGGAAATGAAATGGTGAGATTAGTATATAAGAAAAATAAACTGCCCTCTTGATATCGTTGATATGAATTGTATTTGCGTTGCGTCGGTTAAAGCGAGCGTTTACCCTATCTGTATTTTAGACGATTTTAGGTTAAGATGTGATCTCTCGTTCATAGGTAAATTGGATTTCTACATTACTTGTCGATTGTCGATATATATACGTATATATGAGGTTTCAGATGGCAACTTTAGTAGTCACGCTATTAAAAGCTAAATGTTTTTTTAGTGAAACTTCAGATTTTATTTTTTGATCGACTGACTATTAAATTTTAAAATTCTCAACAATCAATTATTGTACGTCAGTAACTTTTTTCTGATTTTAATAGTCAGACTACGAATTATTAATATCTTTCCTTTTTTTCCGAGTTTGGTAAAAAGTTTACTAAAATCTCGTGGCGAGTTTAACACAAAGTGATGCACAAAGTCTTTCCGTGTACTTTCGAGGTCCGACAATGAGAGTCTTTTAATTTACCCTGTCTTTCTATTAATCAGAGCCCGCAACCCTATCTGATTTCACGATTTCCTTTACAAACCATAAGAATTTTTTCGCAAATAAGACTTTTAAATAAATATGTTTGTAAGATATGTCTGGGAAAGGTTGGTAGAGGTGTATAGGTTTGGTAGAGAGGAAAATTATTCATTTTGTTATCAGGAAAGAGAGAATTTTTTTCACATTCTACCTAATTGTCCGGGATGTACTCATTTGTGCGCGGCTGCCTTTCCTGCTGTTTGTTCTAATTCTGATCCGCTGGAAGGATGGCTTTCGGATTTTAATTCCTCAGAAATAAGAACTGTTAAATCTTTTATAAAATTAATTAGACAATTGCTGCATGAACGACAATAGTAAAATGAAAGAGTATTAATGTGTTACAGTCACTTCAATCGATTGTTTTTTTGTTTTAATTTAATTGTTTCTGTATGAAGTAAATATAAATGTAATTTCATCTCAAATATAGTTTTAGTCACTTGAAATAGCGATTCTTCGCTTGTACTCATGTAAAGAGGTAGACAAGTGTAAATTAAAAATACATTACTAAGCAGCACGGTATATCCCCTGAATATCCATTGAATACCACCGTGGCATATTCCCATGATCTTCCAGGAAAATCAAAATGTCCGCATCATGAGAATATTCCTCAGTGACATTCAGAGTATATTCCAGTGATATTGAGGGTAATATTAAAGGAATATTCCAGTGATATTGAGGGAATATTCCACGGTTATATTGAATTTTTTTAAAGTGTTGAAATAATAGAAATATGTTATAAATTGTTATTTGAATAAACAGGAAGATTAAAAACACATTTTTAAAAAAAATTCAATGTAACCGTGGAATATTCCCTCAATATCACTGGAATATTTCCACACTTTCACCTGAATATCCCCTTAATGTCACTGGAATATTCCATGAATGTCACCGAGGAATATTTCCTCAATGTCACTGGAATATACCCTGAATGTTACTATGGAATATTCCCATAATGCGGACATTTTGATTTTCCTAGAAGATCATGAGAATATTCCACTGTGGTATTCAACGGATATTCAGGGAATATACTGTGCTGCTTGGGTAAATTAATTTATCCTGCGTAGCAAATTTTAATAATAAATAAATGTATTTTAATAAAACAATAAAAAACTAAAATGTGGAGTGACCACCACATTAATAAAATATTACTAAAATTAAATTACAATATTAATACTAAATTTATTATTAATAATTTACTATCAATTAATTAATTAAAAAAAAACTAATAATAATGAATTTATTATTAATAAATGTATTCATCAGCAACAACACACTTGACAGCTAAGGATGACTGGATCAAGAATAACTCTTTTTTAACTCTGGACAGGTGACAAGCCAGATGTCAGTCATTTTAGAATTTTTGGTAGTGTCGTGATGGCGCATGTGCCAAAAGAGAAGAGGCTGAAATGGGATAAAAAGGCTAAGAAACATTTGTTGGTTGGATACGGGGAGAATGTTAAATGTTATATAATCTACAATCCAACTAAGAAAATTGTAAATACCAGCAGAGATATCATCGTTATGGAGAAAGAAACAGAAGAATTGGTAAGCATTTCTTTAAATAAGCTTGAAGATGAACAAGGTTCTGTTTCAGTGGGAGACTCAGAAAGTTATCAAAGCCTGGTTGATGTGACTGATGATTCCACTGATCTGAAAGAAAAAAATTTTGAAAATAACGACATTAGCGACAGAGAGCAGCAGCATTTTGAAGTCAGAAGATCAAAAAGAGTATCGAAACCAAAAGTTATTAAGGATTATATCAAAGGAGTTGCAGTCTTTTGAAGATAACAAAGCGTGGCAGATAGTAAATGTTCCAGAATCGAATAGTGTTGTGGAATGTAAGTGGTTGTTTAAAAAGAAAATTGATAATTGAGATAAAGTGTTGTATAAAGCAAGGTTGGTAGCGAAGGGCTTGACCCAAATACATCGTATAGACTTTGAAGAAACTTTTTCGTCGGTAGTTAGGCATTCTACTTTAAGATTGTTATTGTCATTATCTGTACAATTAGATCTAGAAGTTACTCACTTGGATGAAGTTACCGCGTTTTGGAATGGGAAGTTAGATGAGAATATGGAGAATATATGTATATATGAAACTTCCAGAAGGTTTCCTTGATGTAAATTGCGAAAACAAAGTATTGGAACTTAACAAAGCGATATATGAACTGAAACAATCGTCGCGAGTTTGTTACAAGAAAGTGGAACTTGTTCTAAATGAATTGAATTACAAAAAATACGAATTTGAGCCTGTGTTTTCATAAAATTTGAAAATGATTTTTTAATTATTGTTGCGATATATGTTGACGATTTTTTCTAACTCCAAGCGTGAAACTAATCACCTTAAAAGTCAATTAGCTTGAAATTTCAAGATTTAATATTTAGACGAAATTAAACTCTGTTTAGGAATGAGGATTAGAGTCAACAAAGAAATGAACGAAGTGTTTATAGATCAAGAGCAATACATGGATCAAATTTTGAACAGATTTAATATGTCGGAGTGTAAATCTATGAGTACGCCATTAAAATGCGGTGTAGAGCTAAAAAAGGATGATAAGTGCGATAGTAATCTTCCGTATCAACAACTCATTGGTTGTCTAATGTATCTTGCGAATTTAACAAGACCAGATATATGTTATTCCTTGAGTTATCTAAGTCTGTTTAACCAGTGCTTTAATGAAAGTCATTGGAAACAGGCAAAACGGGTATTAAGATACCTACAGAATACTAAATCTTATAGTTTAAAATTTAGAAAAGGCGATTTAGACTTGCAAGGTTTTGTAGACGCGGATTGGGCGGAAGACTCTCTCGATAGAAAATCGTACACAGGTTTTTGTTTTGTTCTTTCGGGTTCAACTATCTCATGGGAAAGTAGAAAACAGAGAACAGTTGCTTCGAGCAGCACAGAAGCAGAGTATATAGCTATCTCAGAAGTTTGTAAAGAAGCCATATACTTGCAAAATTTGATTAACGAAATTGTTCCTCAGTCAAAACCTATAGTAATATACAATGATAATCAAAGTGCGCAAAAGCTAGCTGTTAATCCAATGTTACACAAAAGGTCGAAACATATTGATGTTCGACATCATTTTGTTAGAGAGGTTCTATCCGAGAAGCACATTAATTTACAGTATTTGCAAACAAATGATATGCCGGTTGATATTCTTACAAAAAGTCTTAATTCGCAAAAGCATTATAAATTTTTGAGTTGTTTAGGAGTGGTTAAGTTTGACTAATTATTGTATGATGATTCGTATTAATCTGAAATCACCTGTATGATTCATTAAGTATTTTTTTTTAAATTTCTTTTATGAATATTCTGTGCTAGTGTGAGTGTTAATATAAGCCCAATGAATATTCAAATTATTTAATATGTACAGCGCCATCTGATGTTGATATCTGTCATCTTTGCTTTTATGTCTGATAGCCATCTTTATAATATAGTTTAGTTCAGAGAGTGCTGATTAACGTACAAGACGTATATTTTATTTGTTTCCTTTCATATTATTTTACAATAATTTCATATTAAAAATGTTATTTACACTAATTTTTTTGATATTTACTTTTAAGTATGTATTTTCATCCAAATTTTATTGTTAATAAATTGTCATTTTATTTTATAAAAAATTGTGCTTTATTTAGTAATACTGTCAAGTGGAGTACATGTTTTTATAATTTTAAAGTGATATTAAGTTATTGAAAAAAAAAATTTCAACTGTGCGGAATTAGTCTCCCTGTCCGAAGTTACACCACTTGACGGTAACTTATATTTCACTTCAGTGAAATCATTTTTTCGCACTTGAACGAGAGTAATCTCGTCAATGTTCACATTAACTAGGTAATTTGCACATAAACTAGTTAATGTTAAAAAAAAAGTTCACTTTCAAACTTTAACTGATTTGGCAGATTAACTAGTTAATGACCACATTAACTGATTTCCAGACTTTAACGGTAACATATATATTAATAAATTTCTTAGTATAAAATATACACACTCATTGGACACATCAACGGGAAAACTTTCAACAAGAGGATTTAATTCTGCATCAAGACTGAAGTCCTGTATGAATTTCTGCTTTGAGCGTCTTTCCAAATTCTTTTGTGCCCAGTGACTCTGAATAGTAATCCCATTTCTTGCAATTGATGTAATTCTGGCTTTCGTTATAGTAGGATTTTGCGAAAGAATCTTGTATATGTCAAGAACCTTATCAATCTAAAAAAACAATGAATTCATTATTATTAAAATACAGTCGAGTTAGCTTATTATGACTTAGCTTACAACGACTGTTCGGTTAAAACGATATACTCGAACCCTTTAGTTTGATTAACATTGAAATTACTATAAACATGAGTCCGTTTATGGGGATATAGTTCCGATTAGCCCAAACCTCCAATCTTTTTGAAACTAGGTATATCCACGTATTTGGTGCGCTGATTACGAAAATTATATTGAAAATTGGCGCAAATGTGATTATCATGGTAAAACCATAAAATTGTGGTTTTTTGCGATTAACTCGTAAAAAATGAAAAATTTTGAAAAATGTTTTAGACAAAAGTTTTAGGTCTCAAAAAACACACATTTTATGTTCTATACATTTTTTACCAAAAGTAATTATTTTTTGAGAAAAATCAAAAAAACCAATAAAAAAAATCAAAAATGATAGAGAAACAGTGCACATCAGAAGTAGAGTGAAATTTGGTACTTGTAGGTATACTAACGTATTTTGATATATTTTGATAAATTGATAATCATGGAAAAAACCATAAAAAAAACACCATAAAATTATGGTTTTTTGCTGATTACCTCGTAAAAAACGCAAAATTTCGAAAAATGTTTTAGACATTTTTTACTAATAGTGATTATTTTTTGAGAAAAATCAAAAAAACATCAAAAATAATGGAGAAACAGTACACATCATAATTAGAGAAAAATTTGGATCCCACCCGACTTCGTCTGCAGAATACTTTTGACCGTGACGCATGATTATGTTCTAAAAATCATTAGTCATAATTTACATTTTATCGAATTTTATTTGTCCTAATTAGTTTTAAGTCGAATTTTAATTTGTTCGAAATAGCATTTGGCATAATTTTCATCAATCGATTTTTCATACTACAGAATTTTTACTTAACCGACAAATCATTTAATAGAATTTCTAATTGATAGAATTTTCATTTGTCCGAATTTTCAAATGGCCGAACAAACAATCGACAGAAAGATAAAATAAATAATGTAAATTATGACTAATGATTTTTAGAACATAATCATGCGTCCCTTTTGACCGTATCCAACCCCTCCCTATTGAAAAAAAACACGTATAATTGTACGTATAATAATACGTATAATTATACGTATAATTATACGTATAATAAGACATACGAATTTGAAACAAGAATTATACGTATAATTATACGTATAATAATACGTATAATAATACGTATAATAATACGTATAATAATACGTATAATTATACGTATTATTATACGTATAATTATAATTCTATTAAAAATAGAATAATAGAATAGAATAGATTAATTAGTAGCAAAATTGCGCTGAAAATTTTTAGAAATTTTAAAATGCAAATTAAATTTCACGAAAAAAAATATCGTCGAATGTCAATTCAAGCAGTCACCCATCCAAGTACTAACCGCGTCCAACGTTGCTTAACTTCCGTGATCTGATGAGAACTTGTTCCTTCGCCTTGGTGTTTCCGCTGTCTTGTCTTGATTAATAACTTTGTCGTATAAGTATTGTATCGCACCTAACCTCACTTTTAGTGATACTTATACGACAAAGTTATTAATCAAGACAAGACAGCGGAAACACCAAGGCGAAGGAACAAGTTCTCATCAGATCACAGAAGTTAAGCAACGTTGGACGCGGTTAGTACTTGGATGGGTGACTGCTTGAATTGACATTCGACGATATTTTTTTTCGTGAAATTTAATTTGCATTTTAAAATTTCTAAAAATTTTCAGCGCAATTTTGCTACTAATTAATCTATTCTATTCTATTATTCTATTTTTAATAGAATTATAATTATACGTATAATAATACGTATAATTATACGTATTATTATACGTATTATTATACGTATAATTAATTATACGTATTATTATACGTATAATTATACGTATAATTCTTGTTTCAAATTCGTATGTCTTATTATACGTATAATTATACGTATAATAATACGTATAATTATACGTATAATAATACGTATAATTATACGTATAATTATACGTACAATTATACGTATAATTATACGTACAATTATACGTATTATTATACGTATAATTATACGTGTTTTTTTTCAATAGGGCTCTCTCCAAGCTTTCTTTAAAAAGCAAGCGAGCAAAGCTATTCGCGAAAAAAACTCAACTTTCTTTGTCGCAGAGTACTTTCACCCATATCCGACCCTTCTCGCCAAGATTTTTTTGAAAAGCAAGCAAGCAAAGCTAAACTAAACTAATTAGTTTTTGAGAAATGTTCAAAAATTGCAATGCGTTTTTTTCGCGAACAGCTTTACTCGCTTGTATTTTAAAGAGACCTTGGCGAGAGGGGTTGGATATAGGATGAATAGCTTTGATTGCTTGTATTTTAAATTCTGCGACAGAGGAAGTTACGCGGCCTACGGCCGCGTTGCGGTTTTGCTCTCTTGCTTTTTAAAGAAACCTTGGCGAGAGGGGTCGGATACGGTCGAAAGTACTTTGCGACAAAGGAAGTTAGGCCGCGTTTGTGTTTTTGCTCGCTTGCTTTTTAAAGAAACCTTGGCGTGAGAGGTAGGATACGGTCGTAAGTATTCTGCAGACGAAGTAGTGATGGAACATCGATAGCAAAACATCCATGTTACACAACATCGACATCGACAATATAAAAAATCGAAATGAATCGATGTTTTCGATGTTTTTACTATCGAATATTTAGAAATTAAAAGATTACGTGAATCATTAAATAATACGACCTTATTTTTAAAATAAACAAATATTTTAATAGTATAATAGCTTAGAATAGAAAATAATGAGATAGTTATAATTAACAATTTGAATTTTCCCGCCAGAAGATTATGCGCATTCATATTCGCGCACTTTTACCGTCTGTGGTCGGTGTAATAGAGTTCTTGTCACTTTTAAGAAAAATGTTGTTTTTTAATTAAATTGCAAATATTATGAACTGTACTCCTTAAATAATAGAATAATTTAATAAAATTTGAAATTTCTATTAAATTAAAATTATTTTTTCACACAGTTTACACTAATTTCTTGAAAATATGGTGAAAACTGACGAGTTAAAATTTACAGATACGTACCACTTGCACATATCAAGTGATTATTTATTATTTATCACTTTAATAATTAATTAACATTTTGTTTAAATAAAACGGTTTAAGTTTGGTCTGTTCTTTTACAACCTTATAGTTATAAACATTATTTTGTGCTGGTTTTTAGTGGAAGTTTTTTATTATCTGCACCATTTGCCTTAACTTGGCTCTCTGATTTGAATTTTTCTAACCTAACATTGGACTGATATACTTGTGTGAAGTTTTTTGTTTATGTAACTTAAATTGGAACTGCTTTCGCTCAATTTACTTTTTATTTTTATTTGAACGATTATTTGTGTGCAAAAATGGCCTCTAGTGTTGAAAATTGTGCAAAATGTGGTAAAGATATTACACGTGCTATTCCTACTTTGTGTAGGAAGTGTAATCTTCCTTATCATCCCAGCTGTGCGTTACAGCTGTCTACTTTGCCTGATGGGTCGTTCACCAAATGTTGTAAACCTAGGTCATTGTCTCCTTCAAATAATTCTCAATCTTCACAAACCTCTGTTAACTTGGATAGTATTTTGAGAGCTATTAAGGTTTTATCAACAACAGTTTCTGATAATTTTGCCAATATGACTGAAAACATGTCAGATATCAACAAAAAACTCGATGACACACTGTGTAGGCTGAGTAATATGGAAAGCAGAGTTGTTGATTTGACAGAGCGTCTTAATGTGTCGAAGAGAGACTTGATAAATCTGAGGCAAATGGTTCTACAAAGATTGATTCTAATTCAGTAACTAATGTCTGTATAAATGAACTTGTTGATCGTAATGAAAGAAAGAACAATCTTGTTTTATTCAATCTTCCAGAATATGACACTTCGTCAAATAATAGTGGTTCTTTAAAATCTGTGGTTACGACTAAATTAAAAAAATTCATTCAAACAGATGATCTTGAAAATATACGCACATTTAGAATTGGTTCTAAAGCGCAGGTTTCTCGTAAGCCTCGCCCTGTTAAGATTGTATGTGAGACGGAAGAGAAGGCACAAGTAATTCTAAAAAAATTTGTAAGTGTCAAAAGAGACTCAACACGTTCAAGGGAGTTGGAAGATCTTTGGATGTCGAATGACAGGACGGTTATGCAGAGGGAGGAGATTAAGAGAGTGAGGGAGGAACTAGAGACCCGTCGATTAGACGGAGAAATGAATGTGTCAATGGTCTACCGGCGTGGAATCCCTACCATAATTAAAATCCCCCCTAGAAATCGCACATCGACTCTTACAGTCCAAATAGATGCGTGTAAGGAGAATCTATAGTGATTTCCCCACTTGGTGCCCAAGGTTGTGTCCCTTCCTTGAGATAAACTTATTTTATTTCTATTTATGAAAGTGACTTAAGGAATGTAGACATTGTGATTTAGAGAAAATCAGTATTATTGAACAAAAACAATTATTTTTGAAATTAATTGATATAATGGTAAAGCAGATTCAATTTATCAAAATTAATCTTCTCCTTTGATTTGATTTATGTTATTCTTTACTGTATAAACTTATACTGAACTTTAACCATTATAGCGCCTACCTAGATTTAGTTAATATTTTATATTTTGTATTGTTACTTACGTAACTATTAGAATTTAGGAGTACTTTTGTACGAAAGGGCATGTCCCGTTAATAAATGAAATTGAAATTGAAATTGAAAATTCTTGCAAAAATTAACTGTATAAATGTTCATTTACCCTCCCAATACTTATTTTTAAAAATTTTCATCAATTAAATGCTTTTTTTATAATTTCTCAAATTCGACTTAGATTCGCCCCAGTTGGGTAGAAGTTAAGTAAATTAAATCCGCCAGGGATATACAATACCCGGCTGAAAAAACTTGTACAAGAAAATGTACAAGTTCTTGTACATGTTCATTAATGAACTTGTACATTTTCTTGT